GGGCTACGTCACCAGTTGGACGCCGACCCGTGACAGAAGGCCGCGTTGCGGATCTGTATGGATGCTTTCCTTTTCCAAGTTAACTATCCTTTTAAATCATATGATGATAAATAACAGCGAAAAACGGCAATTGGCAAGCAGCGAGTAAATGCAACGGTAACTGCAGATCAACAGTTGACCAAAGTTATCTTGCCATCGCAAAATATTAACTTTCCCATCTTAATTTTCGCATTTCAAAAATTACATGCTGTTACAGTACTTAACAGTGATACTTAAAACTACGTGCTACTGTTAGGTAATACTGTGGGATTCTGGTGGCAGTCTTGCAGAAACAATTTGTGGAAGTGTGGCTCATTTCGCGGATGCTTCGATGTTCTTCAGATTCGAATGCGCATGTCTGCCACATTCTAGTGTGGCTGAGTGTGCTGTTGTGACTCTCTTACACCAGGACCTTTGTACTGCGGTGCTTCAACTCACAATCCCACTGTTGCCCATGGGAACAGTGCATTTCGGAATGCACTTTGCTGAGAATTCTCGGCTAAGTGAGAGATAATTTGCCAGCAGCAAAGTGTGGGCCATCATTCAGTGGGAAGTACTTCAGAGTTGCTGGCGTTCGCGAAAACCTCAGCGTCCGCAAATTCCGACAATGCCAATTACATCCAGTACAATTGCATGCCAATGATCACGCAGTGTCATCGCATAAACGTCCATTTCATGGCTACTCCGAAGTTTGAGAACCAGAGGGAATCCTTGCATGCAATGCAAACAAGTCCTCTCCGGAAACCTACTGCAACTACTCAGACACCGGTGCCTCTAATCTAAAATATTTCAAGAAACAACTGTCTCAATTGCTGCACAAGTTCACCACGCATGGCATTCCAGAACCAGGCCACACATGCAGTCAGCGAACAGGTCTGTGAGGCAGCCACGGCGAGGCCACAGACGCGGCCCAGCACTGCTTCCTGTCGGCACCAAGGACCGTCGAAAGAAAGATGAGCCCACAACTCAAATGCTCCGTCCGGTCCGTTGCCCAGCAACTTATCACGCTTTCCCATTCCTTCAACAAGCTGCACGCACACCAGTTGAGCTTCGGGCTTGTCACCCAAAGGTTTCTTCCCGCTTTACGATATGTTGCATTGCCCGTGTCGCATCCATGTAGCCGCCTCTCCAATCTGCGCAGCAGGGCAGCAGCCGTCAGACTTCGGGGACAAAAAGCACACCTCAGTTTCATTAAGACGCGTCCAACAGGCTCTGGGGGGCCGACACACGATGGAACAAAATCAAATGGCATACCAGTAGGACGGCTTCCATTTTCCTTCAACTGTGCAAATCATTGTCGTCCGTGTATTCGTCGTCATGGTGGTCAGAATGTCCGGCAGGCGCTCCCGGTTGTCCCGGTGTGCCGGGCGTCCCTGGCTGCCCCGCCGCCCCAGGTTTGCCCGCCTCTCCATCCACCCCGTCCCGACCAGGCGCGCCCGGAGTGCCATCTCTTCCGGGAGTGCCATCTTTCCCTGGCCAGCCGTCCTTGCCATTCTGTCCGGAGTTGCCTGGGGCGCCATCCTGTCCGGGATCACCGACCGGGCCCTGGGGTCCAATCAGTCCGGGACTACCCGGATGGCCCTGAGCGCCTGGCGCACCAATGGCTCCCGGCCGTCCATCAGCGCCGTCCCTGCCAGGATTGCCCTGCTGCCCGGGGTTCCCTGGCTGACCCTGTTGTCCAGGGATGCCGGGCGTTCCCGGTGGTCCCGTGGCACCCCGCTCTCCCATGGCGCCGGGAATTCCGGGGTTGCCTGGCACGCCATCACGTCCATCCGCGCCAGCCTCACCCCTCGCTCCCGCCTGACCGGGATTGCCGTCCTGTCCGCGCTCGCCCTGGGGGCCCGGCTGGCCGGGCCCGCCGGGATTGCCGGGTTCCCCGCTGTCGCCCTTCTCACCGGGGGTCCCTGGAGTCCCAGGGGCGCCGGGGTCCCCATCCCTGCCGGGTGGGCCAATGACGGGAACTGGGACTGGCACGGGTATTTCTGTGGCATTGCACACAGAGCCTCAGCACGCAGCCAAAGAATCTATGAAGCGCATGCACAAGTTTCCCGTTGGGGTATTCTTCTCGCTTGCGTGGCTCCAATCCAGCTGTGCGCGCACGTTCTGGACACATAGCGCAACAACCTCAGTGCACCATGCCCTGACTTTCGCGAACGTCTGAGCGGCTAAATGAGCAGCAGGTTGGGAGACAGGACAGGGGGCACTCACTGCACGACTCCAGCTTGCCGTCGAAGAGCGTCCTTATCTTCTCCAGGGCGGCCACGTGCACCTGCACCTCCTCCGGCTCCGTCTCGTTCTTGGCGCAAAAGGCCGCGGCGGTGTCGCAGTCCAGCATGTCGTGGTCGTACCAGTCGCAGATGGCCTCCACGTAGGTGCAGCAGTTGGCGCTCTCCAGGCTCAGGCACGCGCACGTCTCTATTTCGACATACACGACCTCCGGCAGAGGCGGCGGAGGAGGTGCGCGGTGGCTGTACGACTTCTTGGAGTAACCGTGCGCCTTGCTGCTCACCGCATGTTGGTACTGTTCACCGGTGCTGCCGTGGTAGCTTTTGGTCACGCTTCCATGGTAGCCCTTGTGGGCGTTCTTGCTCGAGCGGTGGCTCGCGCCAGTGTACTTGCGGCTCCTGTCGCACCACAGTCAGCAGTCAGAGAAGTGCCTTCGCCAGCTGCGGTGCGTGGGATAGCGCGGAGTGCTGGCCCGTCCTAAGATAGGCGAGCCCCGCCGTCAAGTCACACCAGCCACTCTCACACATTGTACGACGCAGGTCGTAGCGAAGCCGGGAACGGAAACCATGGCTCGACGAACCACAGGGCAACCACCTACCCGGCCACGCTGCACACGAGAGCCGCGAGCACAGCCAGCACCAGTCCTCTGCACAGGGCCGCGTTCCTGCAGCCACCACAGCAAACATAAGGACTGGTTCCAACCCACAGAAATGCCAGCCACGATTCGCTAGGGCGGGCGCCCTGTCCCATCGAAAGCATCCAGGGCGCAACAAAAATGCCGCGGCAAGAGCCGGGGACTGTCCAAGAAAGCATCGTCCGGGCAGCGCAGCTCGCTGGGCCTGGCGAACACCCTCATCCGTTAAAGGCACGAACCCGGGGATTGGCACGCTGTCGATGGCGCACAGCTCGCTAGTTGCCAGAAACGGCCACGCACTGGCGCAATCTCCAACGACCCAACAGTGGCTCGGGACAGTCGAGGTGACTTTCGAGCTGTAGCCGGAGCGAAGTGCGTCTGGGGCGAAAGACGGTCTGGAAACCCGTCGCATGTCCAGCACTGCTTGTGCGCATCGTGCCCCGTGGGGATGCAACACCCGCCCATCCGATACGGAAACAGATCCCGCATTGGCACAATTGCCGTCTGTCGATCGCGCCGCCAGCCACGCGCTGTCGCTGAGGGGCATCCCGACTGGTAACGCCCGAGCACCGACGCACTCTCGGACGAGCAAGCAAAGGCGCAGGGCAGTTGAGCAATTGGCCGTCAAGAGCGATGCGCGTCGCAATGGCCTTCCCCACTTCCGCAACAAGTCCCTGGGAAGTTCTTCAACCCAGTCAATTGGACCGACCTCGAAAGCCGTGTGCGAGATGGCAAACATCTCGAGCTGTCCCACAGACACGGCCACTGCAACAGCGCAAGGCAGGTCACAGAGGCATTCCCACCTCAGAGCGGCACGTCGAGGATTCGCCATCCCATTCATCTCAACGCTGCACAGCTCTTGGCCCTCCTTGCTGCAAGCGCTCGCCTGTCGTCAGACTCCGCTCAAGGACTCGCTGGCCGTGCAGAACCGCATGGTTTTGCAGCAGGTGAGCAATAAATACTCCAGCAAGGGGGGTGCACAGTCAGCCGCAGTCAGTGTTCCGGTTCGGCCCCCCCAAGAGCGGTGGACACCCCTCCAAGGAACCCTGAGCACAGGATCCTCGCAGGCAGCAATTGCCGGCAGCGCAACGCGGACCGGTATCCCAGTTGCAAAGCAGCGGCGCGTGGTCCACAAAAATCTCGCGCAAGGTGCGATGACCAGGTCCGACGTGTCAGTTTGCTGTGCATAGATTTTTCTCCATTGCACTTCGTCTGGCGCCATTTCCTTCGATCCGTCCATCGGTTCGCCTGTACGAGGTCGGCCTGCCGGTCCGGTGGTCCAACCGATTCCAGCGCGGATCCGACTATGAGTTTATTCCTTGGACGGCCGTTCACCGCTCTTGGGCAGTCCAACCCGGGCGCTGACCGCAGTTGACTGTGCATCCCCCTCGCTGGGGTATTTATTCGACCAGCGCCGCATACCTTGCAGTTCTGAACGGCAACCAGTCCTCGAGCAAGCTCTGAGACCCACCGAGCGCTCGTGACAGCGGCGGACCAAGGGCGGTGCTGTTGTCGGTTGAGCAAGATGGCGAATTCTCGACGGTGAGCATTACAATGCTCTAATTAGAGCCCTTGCGGATTGGCTCGGGAAGGGGAGCAGTTGCGCTGGCGAGCATGGCATGGACAGGAGCACGCGGTCTCTTGTCGGCCCTGAGGAACTCGTGAGCATTGATGGTCCGGTTGGTCTTCAACTGGCGCGGGGACTACTGGTCCTCAACTATTCTTGTTCCCCATGCGGCGATGCGTGCCGTTTGCTGCATCCTCGGCCTTGTTATCGGCCATAGTTCGTGCGACCGTGCCACGGGAGTGCAGCGCCATCCATCGTCTTCGCGTTTTCTTGGGATTTCCAAGCTCGCCTTTGTCGAGACGATGAATCTGTTACCGTTACGAATCTGAGAGGGCAATCGCGGCCAAACACCCCCCCGGAGCGCACGAGTGCGTTTCTCGAACGGGCAAGTGCAGGGCCGCAGCGTTGTTCGTTGACTGGCCCTCGAGCGCACAGAGCGGTCTGGAATGCATCGTTGGGCATCGTCCAGTGCGTGTCGTCGACGTCGTCCTCCGGCGTGGTGGCAGGCGGCGGTGGCGGTTGGCCTGCGTGAGGATGCGCTGTGCGCTCGGAGTGGGGGGAACGCGGTCTGACACTCTCGTTGTGCGAGCTGCAGACACACGACCTTGGGCAAGGTGCTGGCGTTGGCTCTGCTGGCCGTGCTGGTGTGCAGCGCGACAGGGTGGGTGGACCTTGACGTGATCTTGGGCGTCTGGCCGCCTGTCGTACAGAGTGTGAGGGAACTCTCGCGGCGGACGTTGCTGGTTGCACCCGTGTGACTGTTGTGTGGTCGCCACGAGGTTGCACGCCCCCTTTTGAAGTGGCCCCAACCCTGCCACCTGACGGAAGTCTGTGTTGAAGCAGAAACTCAACGCGTTACGTCTACAGCCAAGGCTACGGTCGTGCCACGAGCAAGACCTACCACGGGGTGCGAGGCAAGGCGCACCGCGAAACTGCGACCACTGGCTACGATGGCAAGACGCATGAGGCCACCCATGGGGATGCGAGCAAGGGCAACGGCCGCTCCAAGAGAGGCTACAGCCAGGCGCCTCCGCTGCCCAAGATCCTGTACCTGGAGGTGGACAAGTGCGTGTGCTCCAAGACGGAGAGCAAGGAGTGCTGCGCCTATGTGGAACACATCTGCGGCTGGTACGACCACATCAGGCTGGACTGCTACACCGCCAAGGACTTGTGCATGGAGGTCAATGACGACACCAAGTGGGGAAGGGTCAAGGCGCACCAGGCCGCAGTGGCCAAAGTGAAGGCGCTATTCGAAGGGGAGCTGGACACATGCGGTGAGTGGCGCCTCAGTCTTTTTCGGTCGCTGATGAGCCCACCAAACAGGATTCCCAGCCACCCCCTTGTTCCAGTGTCGGGGGTCTGGCCAATATTTCATGGGTTCAGGGGAACAGGCCTTGCTTGAGCGGCTGGCGGAAATGCAGTTTGTTGGAACTCTTTTCTTCAACGTATAGGTCGATCCATTTCTGTCGACACCATTCTCGGGGGCAGCCCTTCTTTTGGCAGCAAGGGGTGTGCTGGGATGTGCCTGACTGATGCTCTGTGTGGCTCGCCTCAGTTGCGCCGGCGCCCACTCCAGTTCATGTGGAAGCACCTCCTGGCCCCGACGGAAGACCCGGCACTCCAGGCAAACCCGGAGCCCCGGGTGCGAAGGGCGACAAAGGTGACCCTGGCACACCGGGACACAGCGGCCAGCCGGGGTCCCAGGGACCACGCGGACAGGACGGCGTTCCCGGACAGCCTGGAGCGAGGGGCGAGGCAGGAGCGGCTGGACGTGATGGCGCGCCTGGCAATCCCGGCATTCCCGGCGCCATGGGAGGGCGCGGTGCCATGGGCCCAGCAGGGGCTCCCGGCGGCACAGGGCAACCGGGAGCGCGCGGAGACCCCGGACAACTGGGTCATCCAGGCAGGGACGGCGTCGACGGACAGCCTGGAGCTGATGGTGCGCCTGGCGTCCAGGGTGCTCCTGGCGACCGCGGCGCCGTTGGTCCCCCGGGTCTCATCGGCATTCCTGGACAGCCCGGCGCCCAGGGCATCCCGGGCGAAGCCGGCAAGGACGGCTGGCACGGGGTGGACGGCACTCCCGGCCGGGACGGCAGGGACGGCACAGCGGGCAAAGATGGGGCGGACGGGCAGCCCGGCAGACCTGGAAGGCCAGGCCAGCCGGGCACGCCTGGCACGCCAGGACAGCCGGGGCCCCCTGGAGGCTACGATCACCACGGTGCCAAACACGGGGGCAAGCATGGGGGACATGACCACTACTACCAGGTGCCTGGAGATCACTCCGACCATGCCGCCACGCATGGGGAGCAGGGGGTTGATGACCAGTATTACGAGGTGCCTGGAGATCAAGCCAGACAAGATCCAACACAAGGGGAGCATCGCAGGGACGAAACCCGCAACGAACCTGGGGTTGGACGGAGGTGATGTCGCTCCCCTCGGGTGAGTGTCTTGGGGATGGTACTGGTCCTGTGCTTCTTTTGCTGAACCTTTCAGGTTCCATTCAGTGAATGGCTGCCGTTCATCAGATGCACGGTAGACAAGCGTTGACAATTGTGCGTGACGCAGATTTGGCAATACAATATGGCAACATTTGTGCTCCACGTGGGTTTGATCTCCCCGTGGGCTGACCGCCTCCTTATAGGATTCCTATATGTTTTGCTATATATTGAAATCAGGTATTTGCAACATCCTGATTTGCTTACTTATGTATGTATATGTATATGCCTATCACATCGAAAGGAGCAATATATGGAATCCAAGAGCAATATACAGGGATTCCACATACAGCGACCAGATTGTCTTCCCTTTGGGGGCATGGACGCAAGTCAAATCCGAAAGTGAAATGACGCTCTACAATGGGCAAGTGGCCTTCCAGGACCCAATCCTCCCCTGTTGGCCCCAGTGTTAGAGGTTCCAACACCGCGCTGCTGGTGCGGTTTCTGTGCCCCCTCAACTCTGACGATTGAATATGTTGCGCAGGGGGGGGACTTGGGGTGGGTAATGGATGGTCGACGTGGCGGGATGGCGAGCTGGGTGGAGCGCTGGAATGGCAGGCTTTTCACTATACTCTTGGGGAACTGATAACTAGATGTTTCCCCATACTCCTGGTCAGCCACTGAGGAGAGAGCCAGGACTTCCTGAAGTCAGAGACGCGTCAAGAACCTCGCCTTTGGGGAGGGGGAACTGTGTGGGGGGAGGGGAGTGATTTGGTATGAGGTCGAGTGCCTCCATGGGAAGAGTGACGGCGCCTGTCGTATCCTGCGCTCCTTCAAGGACGGGAACGGTGTGACGAGGTAGCGAGCACTGAGAAGCGCTTGGATGGCAAGCTCATGAATTTTTGCTCTTCGATGACTTGGAACAAGTCAGGCATATCCTGAACGGTTGTTGTCGGACTGAGGAGAGGTCAGAGGTTTCGGACCCTTCGAACAGCTGATCACGGCAGAAAAGGGGCCCTTGCAGGGGCGGAGTGAAAGACTATTGCGTGGGTAGTGGCGGTTGTCGCCGCGGCGCTTCGGTTCTGTGGTGGCTTGACCATAGCCATCCGATTGTTCCTGGTCGCACATTGACCGAACTAGAAACGCTTTTGGCTTTTCGAGCAGGCGTTTAAAAATCAATTTCGGATGCAAGAACTGGTGTCCTCTCGCGTCGCAAGAAAGCAAGCCCCATTGGGCTACCTTGCTCCACGCCAAGCTTGGCATGCGGGTTGCTGTGCTTAATGTGCGCCCCAGGGACTGGACACGAAGTGCAAAACAGATGGCAAAATGGATAAGCAACGCTTTAGGAAAAGAATGCGGAGCAAAAGATTTAATGCTGAAATTTTTGTTATGCGGCAAAGTCAAACATTCTATGGTACCAGAAGCAGTTGAACAAAACACCAAGTCGTAGCGAATATTTTACAATTTTTGAAAATAGGTTGCTTGCATGAACGGCGATCCCCGCTTTCGACGCCCTCCAATGCCAGAAAATCACCAGCGGACCTAGCCCGGCATAATCTAAGCTCACCACTGTTGCAATTGTTGTACAACATCCTGCCCACATGGCGGAAGAGGGAGTTTTCCGAAACAGTAGGTACTGTTACAAAGGCGCAGAATTACGATCAGAATGGTCGCAGACCCCATCCGCTGACCAATCTCCTCCAACCTGGGCTTGTGTCTCACCACACCATCGGCAATCGCTGTATAGAGGCAAGGGCAACGCTGTGGAACAGGTTGACAGGTGCAACCACTCCAGATTCGCGCAATAGATGAAAGCCGTCAAACTCTCCATTTAACATTATCATTAGTGTTAATCTCCAGTATTAGTCTCCAGCCGCACCTATCGTCGTCAGGGTAGCCTCCAGGTCCCCTAGGGCCTCGTCGTCCGAGTCTTGCAACGTCGTCGGCATTACAACGGGGTAGAATTCCTCATCCGGGAATAGTTTCCCAAACCCGGCCTCGGCAGACGCAACGTGCTCCCTGTAGCCGATCAGCCCGCCAGGCCCTGAGCAGCTGGCCACGTTGCTTGGCAAGGCGGCGCATGGAGGATGCAGCTCCACCGTTTCGTTGTAGTAGCAGACGAAAGACGCCTTCGGGCGGACGTCCACGAGGACGTCTGCGCCTTCTGGAGCACATCCTGCCTCTAAGCGCTCTCCCTCTGCTGTCGCCTCGGGAGTGGTGCCTTCTACGGGTTCGTGTTCTTTTGCATCAATACAATTGCGTGCATTTCTCGATTGTTCCATCTGAGGAGCTGTGTCTTTGATGGTTGAGCACGATTCGCTGGGTGTGTTTTGGCCGTCGGGCACCTCACGAAGCAGGCAGGCGACCGCATCCGCCAGGTCCTGCTTGGCGGTTTCCGCTGTGCTGTGGCAGCACAGGTACAACAGGAACCTGCATTTTCCAGAGACAAGTTCATCGACATCCCAACGACACGAAAAAGATCAAACTCCATCGAATTACAACACAACTAGGCAACCGCGTCCAACTCATTCCTGATCCATTGAGGCTTCTGAACGAATGGACCTGTTTGGAAACAAAGGCAAATTCTCATTTTACGCAGATGAAGCACGAAAGTCACTGGCCGTTCACCAAACAGGCGATGTTACGCATTGCAGATAAGCAGCCAGGCAAGTCTTGTACAAAGGCAAACCACGGCCCTTGCAGGAATTAAAAGCTGCACTGTATGAGCACAAACTGGCACAGGTACCTAAGCTCATATAGACTGTATTGAGCAACACAGACTGGCATTTAGTCAAATGGAAGAACATCAAAACAGACACCGACACTGCATATTCGTACTCTTAAGATGAGGTGCACACTGTGGTGTTTGGCACAACACTGATGAGAAGGAATTCTCAGTGATGTGAAAACATCCACAAGTGCAGGGGAGCTGCGCATCACTGCTTCACAGCTGCAAACTCAGTGGTTTGCGATGCATGTACAAATGCAGGCAAAGTGCGTTGCAATCACCAAAAAGACATCCAGTGCAGGACTGTCTCCAATCACAAATGGATGGGCACATACTTGAATTCGAGAAGGCCAATTTCAATGATTCAGTCTCCACAAAAAGTGCCCATTGCCAGCTCACACACAAGGGCAGAATTTGGGCAATCTTGCAGAGCGCAACTGAAGCAGGACTGGGCGGTCAACAGTGACTGTTGACTGACAACTGACATGATATTACAACAGACAACTGATGTGACTGACAAAAGACGGCTGACAACAGCAGCTTTCACATGAACCAGCACTTGAGAGGACTTTGCTGCACCCACTTCACATGGAGGGTTTCTGGTAACCCTACCTGCCCTTGGGGCACACTGGGTGTCCCACTTGAATTGCGTGGATGACTCGATCATTCTTTCCACCCACGCTCCCTGGGGGAAATACGACCAGCACTTGGCTCTCACCCTCGCGTAGAGATCCATCAGTCACGCAAACGGCACGAGACAGTCTGCATTGCTGCTGAGAGGCCCCATTCTCAGCATCTGCCAGAAAGGACCTGTCGAATAGGACAGCAGTCAGCAGCCTAGACTTGGCAGCGAGAGCTCAGGCCAGCATGAGTGTACAAAATCGAGTTGAGGAAGAGTGTCGTGGTGCTGGGAGGCTTCAGGTCAGTGTTCATGAGCATCGCAAGAATTCTTGCTGTGCTTGAACAGCTATTTGCATCTGCTGCAAGGCACCAGCAGCGAAACAATCAAAATTGGGATAAGATACCACACTACATATTATGAGTACGTGTTATGTAAACAGAGTTCATGCATGGAGAGAATTGGCTTTATTCTGCAAAGACAAGATCAGATCCAACAAAGCACCAGAATTGGGGCAATCTACGCTGCTCACCTTAACCACTGCTGTGATGCAACCAGTCCGTGGCAACTGATGTGTTGCCCCTCTTGAGTGATGACCCCCCTGCATTCCTGGGATCCAGGCTCTGTAAGGCAGGCAGCCAAAGGACATCGCAGCACATAAATGCCACCCTTCACAGCACAAAGTCGGCAAAACGCCTGGAAAGCAAGTAGGCACATACTTCCACAAATCAGTTATCCTGGTAAATTCATTGGAGCACATTTGTTGGTAACATTTGATGACACATAGCCAAAGCACCTTCCAGACACGTGGACCTGTGGACACCAGGCCATTGCACCTTCCAGGCATGGTGTGAGGGCATGTGGGTGCCCGCAGCAGCCATCGTTCCACAATCGAGCATACCCCAAACACCGTCCATTGCACAATGAAACAATCAGCACTGCAGCAGGAATTAAAGGAACTCAATGGTCATTCCCATGCGATGTCAAACAACAGCTACAAGTCGCACAATAACAGACCCAGAAATACTAGAATGATGTGGCAGACAAAAAGCTGGCATACAACCAGGCTGTTGAAATTTGCTGCAATCACAGTCGCATCAGTCACCAGGATATTATGACTCCAAAAGCACACAACCAAGACACCACACAATTTCAGCAAAAAGACAACAATGTTCATCACAATAACGCAGCAATAATGTTCATCACAAGCACAAAGTACGATTCAAAGTGAATGTAACAAAATCAACACACTGATAAAGCCAAGGATGTTTACCTGTGGGAGGTCCCCAGACCCGTAATAGGGAATCATAAAAGCACCTGATCCATCCCTGTACCTTCCCATCGACGCAAGGTACAGTCCCAGTGCAGCCACACCCTGCGTTGTTGTCATGGTCCCCGTCTGTTCCCCCATTGCTACTGCATACAGTACCAGCTCTGCCAGGGGCTTGGACAGACCTTGCTCCTCCAGCCAGCCCACAAAGGGACGATCGCTGGCAATCTGGTCAGTGACACCAAAGTGGAAGGTGCTTGCTGGGTGCTTTTCAGGATCGTTTGCCAGAACACTCGGGAAACGAGATGTTTGCCAAAGATCTTTGATGCATTCCTATTGGTTCCAGATGGAAGAGGCCAGCCCAGGCAGGAATGGGCATCCAGAATAAGGACATGTGGAAGACTCAGCAGAACAAACAACAGCATGCACTGTGAGATTGTGTTGAGGGCTGAACCTCAATGTAATCCAATCAGCTGCAACAGATGCCGCACGTGGCGGGCGATGGTGGTCTCATGCAGTGCATGAAATTCCATGTTGTGGCTGCATTGGAGACATGCTGTGGGGCTGGAACTATCATCCTTAGCCCAGAAGCTCCAAAAACGTTGATTAGCAACCGCAACAACTCAATAAACACAATGCGCTGAACCCATCGCCGATTTTGTCTCAGACTGTACAGTACTTTTTCTATCCAGTGTCGATTTATTTTTCATGAACACTGCAACTGCTGCCATTCACCACCTTCAAACTGCCCAGGACTATTTTGTTAATTGCACAGTGACCTCCTTCCCACAATATACTTCCTCCGTCCCAGATTAATTGTCGTCTGTTTGAAAGGCTAAATTTGTTGTAAGGACAGCCTCAGAATTTCAAAACAAGGTCAAAATTGAAAAGAGTGCATCTCAAAACCCTTGCCTATCAATTTTAAAGAAGTCAAAATGAGATATGACCCTTTTGAGCGCAAGGAGAAGGTAAATTTTGGTCATTTTCGACCCCCAATATTGAGATTTACTATGTAAAAAGACTCTTAATACAAAGTACTGCCAAATGCTCAATACTTAATGGATTTACTTGAAAATTTTATGGTGTACTCCCAACTCAAGAATACAACTGTAGAGGAAATTTCATTAAAAACAGGTGCGAGCATGATGGAGAAATAATGCCCCCAAATCATAGACGACAATTAATCTGGGACAGAGGAAGTAATACATTGCCTGCAATACACTGATGGAAGGGTCAAGCCTTAGATATGGTGCTGGCCATGTTTTTGACAGCACTGACTGCCACAAGGTGAGCCCATGAACATCATAAGCAATCACTTGAAATACTTTAATAGTTTAACCATGGGATTCACCCCTACTAAACAAGTGTTGTAGAAGTTTCCAATGGGCTCATGATCTCACCTCTTCCTGCTCGTCTCCCAGTTTTGAAACGACCATTTTTAGAAACTGTGTGAGCATCCGCTTTTCTGAGCTCTTCAAAGAACGATCCCGAAATACATCCGACCTAGATGCTGGCACCTTCCTCAGCTGTCCATGCTGCCAGATGTAGCTGCACCAGCGTAAAACTTTTTGAGCAGAAAAAGAACATAAAAAGAAAAACAGGAATGTAGTGCAAAACTCCCAAACGAACTCTAGTTATTGAAGGTTCTGATCCATAACACATGCACCATGATTCACACAAACATCATGCTTGACAATGCTGCTCTATCACGGTTGGGGTAAACAGGCCAATTCGCTGACACACCGTTCGAACACTTTATCGTATGCATTCTGTAATGGACCTCCACATCTGAGATTCCAGCTGGCACAGCTTCACTGAATGCATGTTGGAGACAGATCACACACAGCAGGCTTCAACAGCTAGACATCAACAGCACAAGCCAGGGAAACCAAAGGCAGTGGCATATCTGGTAGCAAACAGCATTGATATGCATATGAGGTTATCCTTCATCCCCTGGCCAGCATTTGAGCAATGATAACAGGGAGCCTCAACAAGCTCAAACAGCATGAAACAAGGCATGAATAGTGGAACACAGACGGGCGTAACCAATTTTTGCTTGAGAAAGAACCTGCAGTGATGCTGCACCAAATTGATGATGAAGAAGGCAGTCCGTGCACTTTAGTGAGGAGCATTTCTGTCCCAATATTTTTCCCAGTCACGCCCAATATCCCGATCACCAAATCTGACCCATTTCAGCAGCCCTGCACATTCTATACAGCTACCAGTTATAGCTCACTCGACAATCATGCAAAGGTCGAGTCAATGAGAGAAGGGATTGCCAACTACATATTCAAAATAGCAGACTCAGGAACAGAACCTGAATGTGGAATAGGTGCAGTGCCATCTTCTCTTCCGCAAGCAGTCACTTGCCTGCATTCCACTAGTCGGAAATCTAGGTATTGATGAGCACCAGACTTCAAAAGCACCTCGATCAGCGGCTCAATGCAATAGGCCACCTGACAGGGACACAGCAGTGGAAAATGATGCAAAAGACACGGTTAATGATGCAAAAGATGTGGCTGTGTCAAGGGAGCAGTGCCACAATGAATGCATGTACAACTTGAACACCCAACACGCACCCTGAACAACAACACACTGGCCATTGCCCATCCACTGCACTTGGATGCAATTCTCACCACCGCTGAAGGTCTGACTTTATCAGTATAGGTGGGCCTTGACTTGCCCCTTGTACACAAGACTTCCACACTAACATTGATCGATGCCACGATGTACTGCAGATCATCCATGTCGGAAACAACAATAAGAGACTGGAATCCCATGATACCACAGCAAATCTTGCCTCACCTTTGGCGCAAGGTCGATCGTATAGTCCCTAGATGGGCCTGTGTCCACCCCATCAGCCTCATGAATTTCGACGTTGGAATAAGGGTGGCTGTCCCGTGCAAGGCGCCTCACCCCTAGGCCCTCCACCTCTTCTCCAAGATCGATCGCCTCCTGAGACTGTGGTGGTGCCTCCAACCGTGCTTTGAGCTCCGCCAGTGTCAGCGACCCCCAGTCATCACCATACACCTCCCCATCATCAACATGCAGCACACTTTTGCCTGCCTTGGCGGCTGCCCTGCAAGGTAGAATTGACAGAGTGGACATAACTCTTCATGGATCAAATCCCAATCTCTTGGCCTGCAGATTGTTCAACATGTTTTAGCTGAATGCAAAATTGTGGGAATCGTTTGAATAATCTATTTATCGATCCACTCTGTATTTGGCCTTTTAATTTCAAACACCAAGAAAATTAGTGACCAGAATAATCAACAATCCTCACTCCAACAAGTACAAGAAACGGGATTCCTCTGACACATAGGGTCTGTGGTTTTGACTGCATGTTAGATGGCCCCCATGGTTCTCCCACAGCCACTCCTCAGTTTGCACCATTGATGCCTTCTTTCTGTAACCATTGAGAGACAGGGAACACACCTGCTACGTGAATCTGAGCATTGTTTGCACAACCAAGTTATTCACCAAGCTTTCTTCCCGACTCTCCCAGTCTTTCTGACAATTGGTGTATATTAAACCGCAAGCAACACCACCAAAAGTCTACGAATAAACCACACACACAAAACACAAAACACAAACAAGACTCGGGTTTCAGCAATCGGCTGGACGCGTGACATGCTCTCCACTGGGAACATGTATGCTTCCTGCAAACTGCCAATACTGGCGCTTGTGAAGCAATGAGAGACGTTCTCAGCGCGTGCACGCCACCCAATTTGTCATGACATTAGATTAGAAGCCTCCTCTGGTCCCCCGCACCACCAACATCCAAAACTGCAGGCATCTGGACTTAATTCATCCCCACAAGACAAAGCAGGACCATTGCACCGGGCCGGCGACGGGGGCCGATCCAAGACTCTGCCGTTGAGCGCTGTGCATGTCGCAACCCCGATTGCCTCCCTGACATGTACGTCACGCATCCTTAAGTTTGTGCACACAATCGCCCCAACCGCTTTCTACCCTGGAGACTAGAGGCCAGCAGCATTTGAAAAAATTCTGACACAAGATCATCATCGGCTCCTCGTCCACAGCCACAGCCACTTGCCGCCTTGCCACTTGCCGTGATCAAATGCCACACGAAGCATCCGCCTCTCCCGGGCTGCTATCCTCCAAAGTTGCCATTGGCAACACAGCTGGGTGCCCTGGAACCTTACAGGCGATTACAGGCAAGCACGCATCCAAGAAAGTTTGTGCGCCCCAAAGCCGTTCATGTTGTTCGCCTTACCCGGCGATGAGGGAGTTCTCCAGCCCCGTGCCCAGCACGACGAGATCGAACTCCGTCGGCTCGATCCTCATCGCGACCAAAACCCCACGAGGAGCGGTTCCCTTGCGCGCAATCGCCAGCAAGCCGCGCCCCACGCAACGGCTTCAACCTGTGGCTCGATGCCTTGTCAACAACCGGGAACGCAGGTGCGCAAAGCGCTGTTCTCTATGCTGGAATGTAGGCAAAAGACCCATTCAACAGTTCAACAAGTCATCAGGGAGAATATATATCGGTTCCTGAATATATATTGAATGACTCCTGAAAAAATATACAAATAATATATAATAAAACATAAATTGACTCCTGAATATATCCTCAATATATATTGACTCCTGCGTTCAATACGCGGATGAGCGTTGCCCTCAGCCCTGCAGGTGTAGGTCATTCTGCGGACATTTCAAAAGTCCAGATTGGCAAGTGGCCAAACGAGTTTCTCGCGACGACCCCGTCCTCGACCACCGCCCGACCAGCGCTGGTTGCCAGTTTTGCCCTTCTCCGCCGGGACGGCTGGCAGTGGGATTGACGAGCGAATGGCCCCAGGGCGAGTTGAAAGGAGCTTCTCGTTCCGTGATGGCCTTGATGTACAACAGGTGCGACTCGCTGGCGCGGGCTTTCCGCGAGTTTGGAAGCAACGGATGTCTTTTTGTCGCACAGCGGCGCAACGACGCCACGCTGTTTTCAGACCATGGAGGTTGTTTATGGAGTGCGGCAGTGTTCACTCGCTTGTCGTTATTCGCGGCCGAAGCGTGTGATGGACGGGGGGCTGTCCGCAGCCACGCCGTGGTTGTTTTGAATCTTTGCAACGGCGTTCGAACTGCAGCAGCCGACTCTTTTTGGGCTTCACGAGTTACGCTGGTGGGGAGCGGGGTACAATCTGGCCGTTTGCGATTCTGGTGCTCTGGCCCTGCTCGGGTGGAGATCCACTGCCATCGCGCTGTTTAGTTTTCGCCGGCAGCTGGCGTCTTGTGCATGGTATCGCCTTTTGCCTTTGGCGCCCTGTTTGCTTTGCTTGACTGTGGGGCGACGCCCCTGACTTGGTGCTGCCAGAAATTGGGGTTCGGTCGCAGTCGCCTTGGGTCAGTGCACTTGGGGTGCCGGTTGAGAGCATCTTTATCGGTCGGTGCTATTGCACCGGCGGAGTTATCCAGGAACGGTTCTCATTGGCTGCCGCTGCACCTTACTAGGGCGGCATTTGCCGAATAGCGCCGGTGCTACTGCTCCCCTGGGGGCATCCGCAATGGTGGGTGCTATGCCTACGCTGAATAGCGTCACGGCAGCACTACAATGTTCTGCGCGAATAGCACCGGTGCTATTCTGGGGAGCTATTCGGTCTCGAGCGGAGCTATTCGGGGCCAGAATAGCGCCGCTGGGCGCCGAATAGCTCCGGGGGAGCTATCGGGGAGTTATTGCTCCCCAACCGTTAATGATGGTTTTTTACACGTGCGGAGCTATTCGGATAGCCAAATAGCTCCGCCGGAACAATAGCACCGACCGATAAAGATGCTCTGAATGTGCGCCGGAGTGGCAGGACCTATGCGGGGAGAGGACTGGGGCAGCGTTATTCAGTTTCAGGGCAAAATGCGTCCGTTCCAGTCCCAGGTTTAATTGCACACCAAGCGCTGTAAGGCATTCAGAGTTCATGTGGAAAAATATGCATTTCTTGTTCTTGTTGTGCCTGCGGTGGCACCCATCGAAGCCAATTCAGTATTTTCTGATGTTACTGTGCAACAACACGTTTCGCTTCTGTCCCTACTTGCCACCGGGCGAAAACATTTCTTTCGATCTAGTGTGAACTTTGATACTATATCGAACACTTCTTGTCAGCTTGGAATTGATGAACTTTGGATTTTGTTTGTGCTATACATTAGATTTCATCATTATCATCAAGAAATCTTGTATAACAATATCATAGCTTACATTAGATTTCGATCAACTTTGCGCGGGCAAAATCGAAAGCTGACAGTCAGTTGCCTCCCTTGCTGATTCAAATTTCTAATTATGATGTAGAAACTATTAAAATTTGGCCTTTTCCAGCCACATGGTCAGAAAGAATCAATCAGATGGAAGGGAGAATTAGAAGTCCCAGCCTACCAACAAATCGATTTGCGATCAACAAGCCAGATTTGCACAGATCACAGTTTTTTCCTTATTTAACAAGAAATGGGGTTGCAAGTTGGGCACAAATAACTATCAATTGAGAGATAGTAAAGGTTGGAAATTCTGATTATGTCTAACTTGTTAGAGGTCGGATGCCATCCGACCTATGACAGAGCCAGAACGTTAGACAAAATCAGAACTTCTGTTGGAACTTCATTTTATTTTAATCCCATGGTTACTATACATGTGTATACTGTGCACAACATCGTAGCTAATTAGACAACCAGATTAGCAAAAAATCAATTCTGGTGGCACAAACATTTATTTGGTGAGACAAATTTGCCAATCACGCTTAGCAAATAGCCTATTTGAATTATTTCCTCTGTCCGGAATTAAATGAACGCGTTTCATTGAGTGGCCGCAATTACGTCAAGCCTTGTCTTTTCTTGTTAAAAATCAGACTGCAGTACCACTACGAGTTCTGTACATGGTGTCAAATTTTTGTGGAGAACGCATTATTACAACCAACTGGGCACGGCCTCAAAGACGCCCAATTCCCAGGTCATAATTTGACCCATCGCATTGGCGTGCTGGCCTAGCCGGGAGTGGCGTTCCGTGTCCAAGAACGCCCCACTCTCTAGTGCAGACTTTCTTTTGGAGTCTGAAGCACTGTAACTCAAGCAACTCAAGCTCCAGCACAACGATCGACACCCGCCATTGTGGAGCGCCGGCAGAAACGATCCCGGTATCTGTTTGTCACCATCGCTGATTTCTAGATTTCGACCCATCTTGTGCAACGACACACTGGGGTGCGCAGGATCCATCCTTGCTGATACGTTCTCAGGTATCCTGAGACCAGCCCTTCTGTCGCTGCGTGCACTAAAAACTATCTATTCCATCGCGGCTTACAGCAATTGCATGGCCGGAGCAAAGCCATGCCTCTCAAAAGCAATGAATTCCCGCCAATCTTTTGGCAGTGAAACTTTACGATGTGGAGATGGAGGTCCCTAGTGTTTGTCCAGATAGCCTTTTAGCATCCTGCGTGGTTGGCATCTGAAGTTTTGGATGGTGACGTCTTTCAAAGCGTCGTGAACAACTCTGACAAGCCGTTGTGGAGGGAGCACCTGCCACCTCCAATTCTGGCGATCTTTCTGCTTGTGTGCTTCAGGCTGACGACGCAAGCCTTCAAAACTTTTTATGGTTATTTTGCCAGCCTCTCTTACCCGTGAGTGCTGGTGGAGTCTTCTGAAAGGAGCCTTGATCGTGAACTTGGCCAATTTTTCGGATTTCCGATCTCCAGATGTGCATCTGGCTGGACGGGGAAATCCACGGTAGGGATCAACGATCGAAGCCTGGTTGCACCATCTTGCCTCGTCTTAGGGCCGGCTCCAACCTTCTGTTTAAACTGTGGCAGCAGCTATCCTTTTCTTGGTGCGCAACGTCAATTGCAAGGCCACCCTCTCCGGTGGTCGGGTTTGGGGTCGCCAGCCCCAACCTTGAGATTCTCCAACCGAATGCCCCAATCTTGCGGATTGAGAGTACTGCCATTTGCGCAATACTTAATATTTTTACTTGAAATTTTGTCCAAAGCATTTCATGTAAGTTTATTCGATTCTCACAAATTTTGGTCAAGAGCAGATAAGTGCGTGATGTAAAGTTGGCCTGTCAAACAAACGCGTTCATTTAATTCCGGACATAGGAAGTATATTAATGGGAAACTGAAGTATCTAGTTTTTCTCATATATCTGAAATATCCTAAAGCCATAGCTGATATTGGCAGGTGGCAACGAGGGGCAAATGCCAACATCTCGTTGGGGAGATGCCAAGAGTGCTAACAAGGCAAAGCGGCTTTGCAATGATGTGTTACATTGATTTGAGGTTACAAGGTGTATGTTGGTGGTGGTTGCATATTAAGACTCGATACCAAATTGGAAAACAAGAATTATTCTTGTTGTTGTTCATTGTATATTATATACAATGGAGCAATTATACCAAAAAACAATGAACTTGTCTAGGCCACATATGACAAGCTACATAACGAATACAACAATACGTCTCCAAAGCCCATGTTCTAAATTCACATGATGAGAGGAAAATATTCCTTTTGTCTGGAATACTAATAGACGAGCTACAATATTATCATAATGATGAACTACATGGCAAACTACATGATGAACTACATGAACATAGAGTAGTACTAAATAATTTAGTAATATTGACTAGTTATTATTACTGAATTTGTTCCTCAGCTTCCTTGATAAGCGGTTAGATTCATCTCCTATTGACCCTTGCCAAGAATATGGATACAATTGCACCAATGCAAGCGGTGTTCCATGTTTATTTAAGTGCTTGTTTGAGTGCAAAATAGGCATACAATATGAAAATAATTATATTAGGTTGCCCTTCTCTACAACAAGTTTTGATGGTATTGGACCTTCCTACATAAAATATCAAAGCAAGTCATGTTTTGTAATGCAGAAGTGCACAAAGGCACTGCAACCGATGCAACCAGAATTTTGCCAACACATGGAATGGGGATTTTTTGCATTAGGTGTCCGAAGCTGCAACTGTACCAATGTAAGGGGCGTCGCCCTTGGGGGTCACTTCTCGCCAACCGGCACTCGGCCCATCTTGCCCCGTTTGATCTTGGAGCTGGTGGTATCATACGAGGGACAGAATTGGTAAGGTTATGATTACTTTGGCAAAGTTCGGTCTCTATTTATAGTTGCCCAAAGGTGGCCACTAAGCAGCCGAACGGCCACTGCCAGAATCAACTAGCTCCATTCGAATTTGTATCCACACCCATTTGTATCTCCGCACGCCATTCGCCTCACAACTGAGTTATCCGGCCTGACATATTTATGGTAAATTGCCAATGCTATATGTAGCCCCGTCTGGTCCCGAAGGTCCCGTGGGCCTACCCCTTTCATAGGCC